TACTGCTACTGCTACTGCTACTGCCACTGCTACTGCTACTGCTGCTGCTGCTACTACTGCCACTGCTACTGCTACTGCTGCTGCTGCTGCTACTACTACTGCTACTACTACTACTACTACTACTAGTGCAAGTACTGGTACTAGTACTAGTATTAACTAATACTTCTTCTTTTCTTCTTTTTCTTCTTCTTCCGGACTGCCACGCTGCACTGTCTCAGGCCTAGCCGAGGCGGCACGCGCTAGCGTTCGTACCATGTAGCATCATGTCGCTTCCATTTGCCGCACCTTGCAGTCGCCAGTTGGGCCGATGCTTCCAGTTCTTGCGCGGTTTTTGCCACGTCAGCTCCCTGGCCGGGTTCTGGAAAGTGTCTCGACTTGAGAAAGTAGACTTCTCGAAACCCGAAAGGCCTTGTCAGCGGCATCCATCCGGTACATGTGAACTGTGGCCTGGCCACATGCACACGTTGTCCATGCATGCTGAAAAGTGCATCTGTCCGCTTTGTCACGCACTTCATCCACTTGCGCCGCCAGATCCCAGGCCAACTGTCAGCTGCTCAGCTTGTCAATTTAAAAATGGGGCAGCAGATTTTTTTCCGCGCTGAGAGCACCACCTTGCCGAGAAGTAAGAGTTGGACATTGGGGGCGAACATCCTCAAACCAGAGACTCTGTGGTCAGCGAATGGCTTGAGCAGTAATCGGCTCAGCCACGCCCATTGCTTCATCTTGAGCTGCAGGCTTGCCTTTCAACAATGGAACCATGTATGCATTCACACGACGCTTTTGTGGCAACGCTCCCATCACCCCCATCTGCCTTCGCAGTCAACGTTACCGAGCGCGCTTCCTCCCAAAAGCAAGGGCTGCAACAACACAATTGCATGCTCTGGCCTCACGAATCGCGAAAACTGAGATTCCTGCATCGCATCAACCGGCCCGCGGAGGCCTGACTAGCACGTTGCAGCACTTGCGCAACGAACTCGGAAACGATGAAAACTCCACAGGCTGAGTCGCATCCTTCCGGCTGTTGAATGGGAGGCTCCCACCACATAGCGTCAGACTTCCAAGGCAATGATCCCTGAAAAGCACTGGTAAAACGTAGTAAAAGCTCGTTCATGACAGCAAATTCGGCTTGCTGCAATATCACAATTAATCGGCTGCGGATTCTCCTCAAGAGTCAAGAGTCAATCTGTTCTGGAGTTCGTGTAATCCTCTGGAATCCGTGACCCTGACTGAATTACATAATGCAACTGCATGCCGATGCTGCTCACAATATAATTTGAGCGGCATAATGGGTTCTAACCCAAACTACCCACACAATCCGTGATCCGTGAAATCCAGAAACCTGCCATCCGGCAATCCACAGACTTTGCAACGCTAAAGCCAACAGAATTTGCCACAGCCGGCCTTGTGGGCGTCTTGCCCTTGGTCTGTGCTGGCCTAGTCACTGGTCTCTAACATCTCCTGCGGGGCAGATGGGTTTGTAGAATGGCCCGCCTCAAGCCAAACACACCCTTATGCGAGCCGATGTACTAAACCCTAAAACCTTCATAGGCACAGACACAAAGCAGCCTGGTCGAGCCTTGGACGAATTTAAGCTGTTGAGCAGATAGTGGTGGGCAAGCTTAAACACGGAAATACTGGTGGGCTGGCTAGCGCTGAGCGGCAAAATGTGTAAACGAATCAGCACCTCCTCGATGCTGCTCGCATAAACATGAACTCCTATAAGCCTTCGTAAAGACGCTCTCAGGCCAGGTTTTCGTGAATTCTTCAAACCGACACAGGGGGCGTTGGCTTTTTTGCTGGAAACACATCCGCAATCCAGCTACGGCACGTTGCCCTGAAGCACATAGAACCCTAAAACTGCGTCATCCGCATCGAGAGCCTTGAGCAATCTGCCCGGCTTTTGAAATCGCCGCGAAGGGTCCGTGACGGGCTTATGCTACAGGGCCACATGGACTAGTATCTCTGTTGCTAGTGGCTTCACGCGCACCAGTGGAAGAACTTCACTTCTGTAGCCCAGATGGGAATGTGTCCAAATGCTGCGAGCCAACCATCCGCCAAACAAAAATTGTGTCCAGCATGTGTTCGCCTCACAATCTATGTACTGAAGCATGGTCGTGCTGCTTTTTCCGCAAGCCTGACTCTTGGTGAGGCAGGAGGTCAGTGTGGGGTGATGGGCTTTGGGGAGTTGAGGCTGAACCTAGTGTCAACCCGTAACCATCTAGTCTTGCTTCCTGATAAACTTTTTGGTGAGTTCGGGTTTTCTCACCCGCACAATGTCGGATGTGCCAAGACTTCCTCGGCCATCCTGTGCATTTCCATGAAGAAACAAATTCATAGCTCACAGTTTTCAAGTGAGGGACGGCAGCTAAGAAAAATCGAGCACTGAGCACTTCCATCAACGCAATTCTCAAAGCAATTCAACTAGTACATCTAGTACTGTCCTTCGGAACTTGGAACTTTGCTCTGGAGATCTCTGGAGTACAACGCAGCAAAGGCAGGAAAGCTCTGGTCGCAGTCTGCACGGATTGGTTACCCGTTACCCTGCAGCTCTGGTGTCATCTCGACCAAACGCCTGACACGTCATCCAGTAAAGTGTTTCTTATATATACCCCGAAATAGTATAGCAGCCCCCATACATACCCTATTGTAATGTAGTAGCTTCCTAAACCCAAACCCTAAATCCCTAAACCTTCTAGTTGCAGGGCCGTGCCCAACCTGACCCACTGGAGGTGATGTATCTAATGTGACTTTACTGAGGGTTCTGATGCTAGCCACTGGCAGCAAGGCCGCTGAAGGATGCTGGAGACGTGTCAGGGGATGATGGGCAGCGACTCTCGGCCTCCACTTCACCAGCAGAAATTCTGTAAGTTTTCTTAGTAAGTTTCATGTTGAAAGAGATGATTAACGCTGTCACCTCCATCTTGGGGCCGAGGCTCACATGTCTTGCCTCTACACAGTCCCAACTGCAGGGAGTCACACGAGATCTCCCCAGGAATCCAAAGCACCTGACACCTGACTCATAAGATCCACAAGGATTCCCGGGGCGATTTCGCAAAGCGAGGCAGGCCGCGCCGAAGGTAAAAAACATGCCTACACCTTTCGGTTTGTCTCCTTTGGCGCGGCCAGAAGCTATCTACAAATGAGAGCTCGCACTGCAAAACAAGGAATAGCATCTGGTCTGGTCGGGGTCGTACCTGCGACGCTACCTCTTTGTCATGCTGGTCATATCGTGAACTCTTGCGATCGATTGGCCACATGTTGTTTGGTCTGATGGCGGCCCTTGAGACGCACACTGATACAACGCATTAGCTTCTGACTGCTCTAACTCGAATCGGTCTCAAGTATGCTGCCAACAATTGAAACTGCATGGCAGCACGGTGGGAACAAGCACCTGCAGTTCCAGGCAACTTTGCATGCATTCAAGGCGATGCAAAACGCATCTTCATTGAACGCCTGAGTTCCATGCAGCGTGACTCCGGGACCTCACAGCCAAAACCAGTGCTTGCAAAGATTACTGACTATCGAAACCCTTCTCATCTGGTCCTTTACAGTCTGTTTTTCGCACAAACACTTGGGCGAAGGTACGCTCAGGCTGATCAATATTTTGATATGGCAGGCCAAACTCACTTGCCCGCCCCAAGTATGGACCGTCGGAGCCAACACTTTCAGCTTAGCATTTCCTTGCATCCACGCACGTCCTTTTCTCAAGAAGTCACAGTCAGCATCACGCACAGCGGTGTCATGAATGATATGAATGTAGAGTGCGACAAACCCCTCGGAACAGCTTCTGGGCAATGCTGCATTGGCCACAACATACCACAACAAGCTGAGTGATTTAGGAGAGATTTGCAAATTCAAGTTATATAAGTACTTGAGGGGAGAGCCGAGGCCAACGAAAGCTAGCCAAGCTCTATCTAGCGTGGAGTAGGGTAGAACAGGAGGCGAGAAGGTGCATGCCAGCAAAAAGCACAAATTGAGGGGCCTGGAAAGCCCACCGCAGAACCTCGCCAACTCGACTCCAGTGTCCACTTCTCTTTGCGCTCCACTTTCCTTTCAAGCTTCTCCTCCTCATTTTCCCAAATCTCCTAGTCTTTGCTCCACGTTTCACTCCACTGTCCAGTCTAACTCTGACTTTACTCTGGACTCCACCGTCAGTCCAGAGACCACTCCAGTTTCCACTCCACTTTTATTCATTTTCTGCATCACTCAGCACTCCACTCTGCAATGCACTCTCCACTCCGCTCTCCAGTCTATACTCCACCCTCCACTGCTTTTCCACCTGACTCTCCAACTCTTTCAACCGCACTTTCCCCTCACACCTGTCCCTTCCACTCCTTATCCATTCTGCAATGGCGCAAGTAGCGTAGTCCCGGCATTCTCTGCCAACGTCCAAGAGCCAGGACAGGCACGCGGATGGCGAGTCTCACAGTCCCACCCCGACCACAGGGCTGCATGCGACGGAGACACGACCACGTACGAGCATGGCCGCCCCATGCCCCGTGTCTGTTTGCACTTTTGACACGTGACGCAGCAACGACGGTCCAAAAGCGACAACACTTATGCGATGATGGTGCCGGCGCGAATGCTTGGAAACGCTTGCGAACACTTGTGGACCGTTGCGGACGCTTGCGGACATGTGCGCAATCAGTTAGCTCGGTCATGGATTCCCAGATCGCAACATTGAAAACAGGAGCCCTTCCGCGGAGCACTCAGCAATACGAAGGTTGCCTGGAACAACTGAGCAAGATGTTACTTGTAGCATGACCACACAACGTCAGGGACACTATGAAACGCGAAGAGAGGTGTGATTCGAACACGAAGCGTGAACTTACCCGCGCTCTGGCCAAAAAAAGGGTCATAAAGAGAAACAAGATTGGATGCAACCACAAGCGAAATGTTACTCGTACAAAGAGCACGCAGGAAACAAACCGCAAAAGAGGAGAAGGCAATATGCAACAACCAGGCATGACGTGCTTGGTACCATGACCGTTCAAGGACATGCACTATCAAAAACGGAGTAGAGAGCCTCAGTACAACTTCGAGCTTAATGCCATTCGTACCATGCTCATGCATGGGCAGATTTAGCGAGGACTACAGGAGTGGCAAATAAACAAGAAATTGCTTGTTTCAAGACCCAGCAAAGGCATCGAACACAACAGAAGNNAGGTGCAATGCAACAACCCGGCATGATGATGCTTGCCGGGTAGTGATCACTACAGAGGGGCCAGGGAGGTTTGACGTAACGACCAGCACGGTTCGTGTGTATCATGACTTTCCAAAGGTTGTGAACACTGAAGGGACCAAAACCTTTACACCCACCAGCATCATGCTATCCGTATTGTGAACTTGCTGGGGTATCAACACAGCTTTGCAGTCTCAACTCTCCCTTGAGCCAAATTGTTCAGGTCACCACCGAGTCTAGGTACTAACTACATGAGTGAGCTTCACTGTAGAAACAGGCCTGGGGGTCGTTTTAACAACTACTCAATCCAAACTCTGAGAGACCTGGACATCTCTCAGGTAGCAGGTAGTATCCCATCACAGAGAGTCTCGCTTGCGTAAACCAGATTGCATCGTTTGTGATGCCTTGGGACCTTGCGTAACATGCCCAGTACTTTCGATAGCTGTTTGGCTTGTTTGGCTTTTGGTTGCGAAGGGAAAAATGAGCCAACAGCATGTCTGTTCTATCGAGCTTTCAGCTCCGCCGCCGTAACTGAGAGCAGGGCGGCTTCAGGCTGCATTTGCGCGTTGCCAATTACCTTCACCCAAAATAAATCTGTCATCTTCCTTCATATGGGTGAGCACTGCTGGCCTCTTCCTTTCGCCTTGCCTTTTCCACCACCATTGCCACCCTGAATGCAGAGGAAGCTTCACAAGACACGTGCTCTCGGACTGTCGCCAACCTTGCTTTTGCCATTGGGACCTTTGCCACCACCGCCTTCAGGGCAGCTCTCCACACTTTCATTGCCAAAATCTTAACAAAACGGAGCCAACATTGTAAAGTCTGACCACTTTGGCCGTTGCCTGTCTTCCCGCCGCCTTTTCGCTTCCGCCTCCCGAGGAAGTTGCCCGTGTTGTGCGCAGGCATGTGCATTTTTGCAGAAAGCTTCGTTGTGCCTGGCATCGGCATCCTCCTCCTCAGCCCACACTTCCTCGCCTCCCAGCATCGAGCCTGGCAGGTTTCAAGTACGCTGCGCAGAGAGCCGCCTAATGCCACCTGTAAATCGCATGCTGGGTGATACGGGCCTGTTGGAGTTGCCGGCACTTGTCCTTGGAAGCGTAGGCTCCTTAGAGGCAACACTGAGGAACTGTTCCCAAGAGACGGCTATTCTTCTCGGAAGCGGGCAGCCAGTCATCCATTTCAGGATCCCGGCCAGCGCCCTTCTTGTTCTTCTTGGGACCTAGGGGAAGATGTGTAGGGACATGCTAGTCATCAGCAGCATGAGGTTCCTTGATATTCCTTGAGGTACCTGCCAGGGCTCTGGGCCATCCCCGGCCCTCCGCAGCCACCTTGGCCTTGAACAAACTGCGGCTGCTGGTAGCCTGGTTCCACACTGTGCTCTCTTTGCCGTGCAGTCAGCTGCTCACTTCAGGCGCATAGCCTTTGCTGTTGCTCTTCCCGCCAGGCGACATCGGCATCTGCTGCCTTGAGGGATCCAACACGACTTGCACCCTCAGGATTCCAGAGACCATCACAGCATGAGCCGCAAGGAAAACCGAAAGTGGGATCCCACAAAACCCAGCGCAGAAAAAGCTGAACTTACAATGTGGCCGCGAGCTGCATTGATCCAACAGATTTCGAAAATCCTGCAGCACGGTCCTGCCCCAGGTGTCTGGCACCGCTTGCTGCTTCATCACGTCCTTAGGCTGCCATCCGCCTGGCTATGGACTTGAAACCCGCGTTTTCCTCAACTCCGTTCCTTCAAAGGCCCTTTAGGGCTCCTGAATCTTGGCCACGCTTAATCCCTTGTGCTTGCACCACCTTGAGCTCTTCTCTTCTCATCCCTTCTGCTAGTAGTGGGGGCGAAGCATCCAGCTTTCTTCCCCATGGTGTCCAGATCATATACTTACAGGTAGGTATCTTGGCCATTTCCATGTTTGGATCCCCACTTCTTCTGCAGGCCTCTTTGGCCCTTGCCCTGCGGGTCGGTCTTCTCCACCCACTTCTGCTGTGGCATGTCCTTGCAGTTCACATTTGCTATCACTTGCTTGGGGCGAAAGCAAGCTTGGAGGCTCTGAACTCGCTGTCCTTGCCGCCGCCCTTGCCACCTGCAGCTTACATGAGATGTATCCGGCCGCCGGATCACCGGATCCCAGGCTCCGAGCTTCTATCCACTTCCGCTGCAAGTCTACTCTCATGTAACTCCCGCAACCATGAGCTAAAGGTGTAAGTCACGCATTCCATGAACTCCATGAATATGAGCAAGCAGGACATTCCATGAGCCATGGCCATGGCCTCCCATGTTGTCATCATTGCTATGCTTCCCGCCGTCTTTGCCTCCATGCCTCGGAAAAACTCTGAATTCTTTTTTCTCTGTGAGATGAGGACCTTTCGCCTTTCTCCTCTGAGGGCAGGGCATTCCATCCTGGAATCACAGAAAATCTCACCGGTGCACAGTAGGATTCAGTGGACTGCCACTGCTGGCCTTTTTGCCCTTGCCCTTGTTCGGACCTTGGAAGTTTCCAGCCTGCCAGCGTGAGGCACAGAGGGTCAGGCTTTCAGATACAATGCGTGGTTCCAGCCATCATGCAGAAGTTGTTCAGTTCTTCTAGAATTGGTCCATCAGATCAGCTGCCTTCTGGTTGGCATCCATGTTGGGAATCTGCCCAGGCCTACAAGGGAGGCTTATGGCATGACAACATACACCCGCTAAAAGCAAGCTCAGTCCGGCCTCATGTCCCACAGCTGGTGCATCTCCTGAGCAAGCAGCCAACTGCATCAGCTTTGGGAACGGCAAAAAAAAGCAACATCACGTGTCTGTGGTTTCTCTTCTCTCAGCTTTCTCTCGCAAGGCGCTGTCCTGGTCCAGGCCGACAGAATCCTGAGGTCTGGCTCCGTCAATCGGTTTCTCTGAAAGCAGCAACACAGCCTGGATGTCGGCCCAAGGGTTCTTCGGGTTCCGGAGCTTGTTTCCTTTTTGGCTGCCGTCCTGCCAGATTTCTTGTCGCTCTGCCCTGCTCTGCCCTGCTCTGCACTGCCTGAGCCTGTGGGTTCTGACCAGGTTGGTTGCCGCCTTTGCCTGACAGAATTCGCCCGCGCACCACCAAATTTACCGCTTTTGAAGTGCTCGAAGCCATGCCTTGCTCTCCAGGCACCGCAGGAGCCTCCTGAGGAAAAAGCGATGCCAAGGCGGGTCTGAACACTTCGTTCATGTCTTCAACATGTTCAACCCTCAGCTTTCCTGGTGGCTGGGCTCAAAAGGCCTCGCATCGCAAGCGAAGCAGCTAAGCAGCTAAGCCAAACCACTTCCAGCCCTGATCCAGCCCTGGCCTTGCGTCGGTGGAGCGGCCTGCGCCGCGCCCTGCGCCTTGCTGCCTTGCACAGTGCAAGACGGAGGCACTGATGCTCTTTGAAACCAAGAAAACCACGACAAGAGGACCAACACATGATCTGCACTCAAAGCTGAAAGACTCCCAAGCTGGGCTGCTGGCCAGTTGGCTCCTTGCTTCGGCTGCGTGTTGCGTCCGAGGCCAGCAGCCACGCGAGCGCCGCCTGACGAGACTTCCCTTCTGAATCAACCCAATAACAAAAGCCTCCCTTGCGCCTCCCTTTCCATCCCCCTCGGGCTGCGGACCTCATGAAACACCAATGCCAAGCTCTTCGAAACCTTCCTTCATGAGGTCTAGGCCTTGACCCCCCTTGCCTTGCTCGGGCATCCCGCACTGGCCTGCACACTACGCCAAGAAGCGAATTGAACCAGACGCTTTGACTCAGTGACGGTCCTGGCGCGGGCTGTGCCATGGGGTGGCCTTCGGCCATGTGGCCTGTTTTGTCACTGCGCGAATTCCAAAAACAAGATCTGATCCTTCACAGCGGAACGGATCGTGCAGATGGATGCCAACTGCATACTCAGCTGTCTCGCACAGACTATGCACGGCACGTGCCAGCATGAACTGCTCGGTTTGAGATTCAAGGCTTTGGCCAACAGAGGTCGAAGTGTCCTAGACACACCCTTCCCCGCATCTCTCCGGCCCTGCCGTCACTCAGGAGTGTTTTTCCCTGCTTGACAGGATGCTCTTGCAATGGGACCTTGACTTTGGCAAATGGGCAGGCCAGCCAACATACGCCCATGCTGTCAGTGGTCAATTTCTTTGCCAACTGCCGCTGAGGTTACGTGGAGGATCAACTGTCAACTCCAGGCGCAAGATGAATGTCAACTGATTCATATTCATGCATATTCATACCCTTTGCTTGACGACAAACCTGAAGGGAGAGGACACGGTGCCTGCCATCTGCGGGGGTATCGCGCCCTGTACGCCTGCCAAGGTGAAATGGAAAAGCATAAAGAAAGGACCGAAGAACGAAGACGTCTTCATCAAAGCACCGAGAAGTTCCGAAGCATTGCGAAGCCTTGCAGTTGCTGCATCTGGCCCTGCATCGGGCCACCGCCCTGCGGCATGCCACCGCCTTCAGATGCAACACGAATGCAACGGTCAGCGCTCTTCCCTGCAAACGCAACTCCCTCTATCTTTAACAGGGTTTAGGGTTTCGTTTCTGCGCACATCCCTCTCTTTGGCGCGCTCCTTGCATAGCGTGCTGCATCTGCCCGGGAGCACCGCCTGAGGCGACAGGCATGAACCGAAGACGCGCAGTCAGATGCAGTCAGTATGCCTTGTGCAAGGCACTGCCAACAGAATTCGGGGTTCGGGCCTTGCCCTGGCATCATTGCCACGAACTGCATTCCAGGATGGCCCTGGCCAGCCCTGAGCATCAAGGATCTGCAGCCGACAAGTTCTTCACAATTTTCGCCCCTCCAGCGAAGTAACCGGCCGGCGCGTCCATCTCTCTTCTCGCGCCCCCTGCCTAACTCACCTCCCTTCCCTACCACACCTGTGTCTGCCGGCCTTCGTTAGGTCTGTCAGAGGCCCCCCTTTCTCTGGGGATCGGGCTGTGGCTGCTGCTGGCCAGCCATGTTCATCTGCCCCGGCATCATCATCTGGCAGGCAGTTTTATGGCTGGCAAATCTTCTCACGAGCACAAGCGGTCACAAGCGTGCTGCAGACACCCCTGCAGTCATCCCCGGCATCTGCAGCACATAGCCGCCACAATTGCCAGGACATCCACCGGCGCAGCCGCTGCAACCCGCAGCCGGACATCCAGCACAGCCAGCTTGACATCCACCCTGGCAACAGCCTTGGCAGCCGGCTTGGCATCCGCCTTGGCAGGCGCCGCACTGGCCAGCAGGACATTGGCCAGCAGCGCACTGGCCGTTGCCACACTGACCGCCAGCAGCGCCGCAGTGTTGATACATCATCTGCACAGACTACGGAAATCAAATGCACTATGAAGACACAAGACACAGTCTTTACACACAAAAGTGTCACAAAACTTGCTGTGCCTGCTGAGCTTGGGCGTGTTGAGGGTTTTGCTGGCCAGAACCATCCATAGCATAGGGCATGACCATGGGTGTTCCGTCCGGAGCCATTTGCATACCCATGTGGCCCTGCATGTAGCCTTGTTGTTGGGCCATGGCATGGCACGGGTGTGCGTGTGCGGCTCCTTGTACTTCTTGGCCCATGTGGTTTGCCATCCCAAAAGCCATGGCGTGGTTGGGCGCTTGGCCAGGGCCGCCAGGGGCAGTCATGCCCTGTGCTTGGAACATGGCCATCTGGTTTGCATTCTGCAGCATCTCCGGGGAAAAATGGCCAGCCTCCATCTTGAAGATCAAGTTTGTCAGAACGACTCCTCTCTCCAAACAGGAGCTCGAGCTCCTCCTGGCCCGTCCGATCCACGCGCCAATCAATCTTGAGAATAAATCTTCAGAATCAGTCTTGAGTTCTTTGTGAAAGTTGGTATATGGGCTGGTCAAAGGTAAACGGCTGAGCACTCTGGCTAATTTCTCACGAGCTGCTGGAGTTGCTGTCTTTGCTAGTGGCTTGACTTTGGTCTGGGTTGTGCACGGCTTTGAAAGAACATGTTTCTCTTATAAACTCTCAGCTTGAGCATCAGGCTGCCGAGACTTGGCTCCAAAGCAGCTCAAAGATGCTTGGAGCAAGGCAAGGACGCAAGGGCCGCAAGGGCGATCGGAGCCGAAGGCATTTTGGGTTATGTGAGACATCTTTCTCTGGTAGCTCGCATCTTTGTGCTTGCTCAAACTTGCGCCTCGCCCATCTGGTTGTATCGATCCTGAAGCTGAGAGGACTGGAAAAGGACCCTGAAACTGACTGAGACTTTGAGACTGACATCTCAGGAATCTGAGGAATCTGGAAGGAACCCAGGGCCCGGCCCGGCCGCAAAGATGTCCACACCAGTCCAGAGCCAGCATCAGCAATGCTAGCACGCACAATGCGCCCCTGCACCAAGTTAGAAGCTAAGCGAAGCCAAGCGAAGGCGATAGCCGCTTCAAAGCCGCCGGCCCCGTGACTCGGTTGAAGAAGCTCAGGATGCCACCCGGAAGCAACTGACAGCGCAACCGACAGCTCTCAGCTTTCAGCTCTCCTCTCCTGACTGCATCTCTCTCTACGCGTCTCTGCGTGGTCAGGTTGAGGGCAATGCCAGGAACGTCATCGACCCAACGTACACGTAAAACAAACTCCGCCCGGTCTGGCACACCGAGTAGGTGCTGCACCGTGCTCACATTTTGTCTGGAGAGCGCCTGCCTGGCTGGCCAGGAAGTAGGCTTTGCGGAACAGGTTGCCCTTGCAATCATGTTGCCAGAAAGTGAAGGTGGACAGATGATGAAAGATTTCGCCTGCAGGTCGCCGCAAGCTCTTAGCCATGAGCCCTGCATCTGGGAAGGTCGGTTCACTACGTAGATGCTACTGCTACTGACATCTGTGGATCAGAGCACGTCATTTAACCTGTGATTCCGCAGAGATTTCTGACTCGATCAGATTCCGCAGGGCTTCTCAACGCGAACCTTGCCGTCACAGATGCAAATAACCAGTCCAAAGAAGACGTTGTAGATGTTACATAGCCTGTCCTGTGTGTCAGACACGCTTTGAGCTAGTTGACTTTTTTTGCTTTCGGTGACACGGTACTTCGACAGAACCTCGCCTTGGGAACGATGCTGAAATCAAAAGGGTTGAAAATGGCCTTAGCTGTTTGCCCTGGGTGGTGTGCAAACTGAAAATGTTCCTTGCACCTCTTTTAGCAGCCTCACCTTCTCACGCTGGGCTGCGTACCAGGAGACTGAAACCGACCAAGGCCAAACCCGCACAGAAGCAGAGCACCTGTCTCCGTACTCAATGAAAAACCAGACTAAGCCAACAGAGCTCTATTTCAGCACGAAAATGGGGGAGGGGGGGGGGGGTATATTATATCCCTATAGAACCTCTTCCAGTATCTTATCCTATGACCACGAAGCTATTCCAGCCTTCAGGCTGGTGGGGTTCTCTGAAATGTAGGCCTCCCAAGGCATGGAAAGCTCTCCCCCAACATGCTAAAAATGACCTTAAGGCCTTAAGGGTCCATGTGGGACGGATCCCAGAGATGTCGCCATGAAGCTCTGGTTAGATGCGCGTTGTTGCAACTTGTCGCCTGTACCTCGAAGAAACCACTTCGGGCCCGGTCCGCGGCCACGCGAGCGCCTGGAAAGCCATAGTCGAAAAAACCGCCGACACCCGCCCACTCTCATGTCACATACAATTGTATCTGGAACTGCCTGTTTTTCTCTATTGCTGATGCCTCTTGTTGTAAACCTAAGTAGATTTTGCTGAAAAATACCTCAATGTCTTCGATGCTTGCGCGTAACATAAACTCAAGAAGGGGAAAACAGAAGTTTGTGCACACATTCACCATATTTGCTGAAGTATGGTGCTATTCATGGTTCCAAATATAAAGGACGTTTGCAGATGTCCAGTCAAAATACGAGTTCCAAAAATCCAATGTTTTCGAAGAAATGCCAGCTTGATGTTTGGATTTCTGAGTTATTGCGGAACTAGTACCATGGCTGTTTTGTGGACATGTCCGAGATCTGAGAATTTAAGAAATATCAGAAAATCCCGAGTCCAGCAACCCAACAATCCAGAACTGCTAAAATCCAGAAATCCCATCTCTAACACTCCAGGAATCGCAGCTCCAAAAATCTGAACTTCGCTGGCATCTCTCTGAAAAAATTGGATTTTTTGGAATGTGGAGTTTCCAATAGCAACCCAAATAACCTAGCATTTCCATGGTACGAATCATTTTCACGCGAAAACCAACAAAATTGACTTTGTTTTCATATGATGACAGTTCTGAGCTATTTTGGCTGCAGATCCTAGACTTTTGTGGCACCAAAAGCCTTTTGTTTGTTATATGGGTATAATGGAAGAGATAATGGAAACTACTGTAGTGTAATGGGGTATTGGAGTTAACGACGTGTGAAGACTTTATGACATTTCATGTGAACTCAGAAGCCGTTAAGTACATTATAGAAGTCTGAACCTTCAGCTTCACATGCGATACGCGCGGGCGCATAGGCTAGAATGCGCCAAGACGCAAGTGACGCAAGGGAGGTCTAGTAAGGAGAAGGGATCTGCTCAGACTAGGGTTTAGGGTTTAGGGTTTAGCCCTCCGGGTTCAGTTCCGGGGGTGGTTTTATATGGTAATTTACAGGGTTGGATGTTTTTGAGGGTCGAAAAAAATAATTATTGGGAGTAGTTTCTGCAAGGGACCCTGGAACTCCTAACCATCAGGTACAAACATCTTCGGAAATAGGGCTCATCAATGAGATGTGGCTGACCATATGGATGTCCATTGTTAGGAGATTTCAAAGCATAGCTCAGATTAGTTGAGACTGTGAACACGAACGGAATTATGATATGGGCATGGATGCTCTGGTCTTCGTGTGCTCTAGGAACACGAACGGAATTATGATTTGTGCTCAGGCACACGAACGGAATTATGATTTGGGCATCGATGCTCTGGTCTGCGTATGCTCTAGGAACACGAACGGAATTATGATCTGGGCATGCATGCTCTGGTCTGCGTATGCTCTAGGAACACGAACGGAATTATGATTTGGGCATGCATGCTCTGGTCTTCGTATGCTCTAGGAACACGAACGGAATTGTGATTTGGGCATGCATTCTCTAGTCTTCGTATGCTCTAGGAACACGAACGGAATTATGATTTGGGCATGCATTCTCTAGTCTTCGTATGCTCTAGGAACACGAACGGAATTATGATTTGGGCATGGATGCTGCAGTGAGCGCATACACTTGGAACACGAACGGAATTATGATTTGGGCATGGATGCTCTGGTCTGCGTATGCTCTAGGAACACAAACGGAATTATGATTTGGGCATGCATGCTCTGGTCTTCGTATGCTCTAGGAACACGAACGGAATCATGATTTGGGCATGGATGCTGTGGTCTGCGTATGCTCTAGGATCATGAAAATCTGCAGTACGCTCATTAAATATACAACGAAAGCCAGAGCCGTAGTCCAACAGAACTCACTAACCCCTCCCCGTCCCCCCAACCCCGGCCGCGACAATGACGAAAAAGCGCAACTCGCGCCGCCCTCGTGCAGCAAGCGACAGCCCTCAAGCACGTGTCCCTCGTGCCACGCAGGCCACGCTTTTCAAGGCCTCAACATAAAACACCGCATTTTGTCGTGGCGCGAAATGCGCATGTTCTCGTCCCGCCGACAACATGCGCGAAGAAAATCAGAAAGCAGCGGCGGCTTCCGAACGTGCCAAAATCACCACGCTGGCCAAGGTTTTCAGCATGTGCGTGAAATGACCACACGAAGCGTAACGATGCGCGGCGCCGTTTCGCCCCCAAAAACCACCCCCGTAACTGAACCCGTTAGGGGGTTTAGGGTTTAGGGTTTAGTTCACATAGACTTAAGCGAATTGCAAGATTCCATGAGCTTCTACTTCGATAAACTCACCGTCGAAGTATCAAATCAAGATCTTGTCAGGACTTGGCTCTTCGTTGATGTCACGGTTTTTTCCATTAGGTTTCATGTAGGCGTCAAGACCTTTGCAAGATTTGGTGAGATGTGCATAAAGGAGGTACTCCAGCAATCAATGGTATTCCCACTGCATACGAAATAGGCATAGGGAAGGAATTAGGAGTTCCCACGAGCTGGTGTCTTGCCCATCATAATTGGAGGGAAGTAGCCTTGGAGAATGTTTGATGTAGAATTCCAAGACTCAAAGGAAGTCCCATTCAGTTTCAAGCAAATTCTACACTGAATCAGGAGCTACGCTGGGCAGAAGCTCTTGAGAACGTCAAAGTTGAGTGTGTATAGCATTCAGCACCCTATACGATGGCGGAGTCCCTCATTAACTTAGCACTGCGTAGACTTCCTAGCTGGTTCTGAAATGACCGGATAAGCTTCACATGAGCTGTAGTCTTGACTCCTAGTATCCCCGATGATCAGGCTCCAAGGATCTCTACTTCTCGTGTCGAGTGGGTACAAGGGTTTTACTCAGGATCTCGAGGATTGGATGCAAGTCCCATGGGAGCTGAAGAAACCTAACTTGGTAGTGGGTTTGACCTGAAATCATAGGCATTGTACTAGTCGCACATTGTAATAGTTGCAGGCATGGAGTGGAATGTGGAAATTTACTTCAAAGCAAGAATCTGCAAAAACAGACAGAATTAATTCAAGAAAAATGCCCTTGCAGCGAGAAGGATCTAATGTTACTATCAAATGTTAAATCATATTAGTTCAATTCAACTGCTTGCAAGATAAAGTTCATTATTTGGTCAAGCTTTGTTTTATTATTTGGGCAACCTTTGGAACGTAGTGGCAGCTCAAGTAGTGTTTGTAATTCAGGACAGTCCAAGAGTTGCATGAGGCATGAGTTATTTTCAAGTAATCAAAATCCATGTGGAGCTGCGGTCCTTTCAGGAAGCCATGGAATTCGATTTTGCATTTAGAACTGGTACTGACACAGTTAAAGAACTTTCCCAGACCAGCTGTGATTGTTGGGCATTCCTGGTTAGATCTGATAGAGAACCAAGGACCTTGTATGAGTTTATAAGATAAACCATAGAAGTTCCACATTTGTGCGTCTCATGGGGGGATGGATGAGACTATATGTGCTTTTTAATTATAATCATTATAGCTAAACGTATACGGTTTCACGTATACGTTCAAACCGTTGCTCTGCGCACTTGGGCACTTGGGCCTTGCTGTGCAGCGGCAGCGGCCATCTGCCTTGAACTGCACAGTCCTTGGGCCTTTGGGGCTTTCCTTCACGGCTTTCACGTTGCGCCAGCCTCTGCAGGTCTGCCGCTGCTGCCGCTGGAGCATAAGCCTCACAGATGCCAACTTCTCTGACGAGTCTGACAACGTTTCGCGACAGGAGGGTCAGATTGCAAACCATGCGCAGTGTTCACCTGTGCGCATCGCACACATAGACTATACGGACATGCAGTGCAGCGGAGGCTGATGTAGCATGATGTGGCGAAGGCCAGCGTGGCCTGCGGAGCCGCAGACATTGCTTCTAGGATTCTAGGGGGGCACAGCTTTCATCCACATCGGGAGCGCGGGCTCAACTCTCCACACGTTTCACCTAAACGTAGCTTTCGAACAGGGAGCCAGGGATACCTACTCCGATATCCGCCATGTAGCAGAAGGACGATCATTGCAACACAGTGGTTACCAGGCGACTGCAACGTGGGACATGTTGGATGGGGAAGCATGTGTCATCACTGCCCCCATGATCAACACGACCATGGCTGCGAGCGTTCCCTTGACAAATGCATCGTTACAATCTGATAACCTTCTGTGCCTTTTTCATCAGCAACTCTATGGCGTAACAATATGACACACCAAAACGTATGTCCCATGTTTGTCTTAAATGCCTTGCCAATGAAAAAAGCCAACTATACACGCCAGCTGATTTGCACCACTGCTGAAGCACAGCAGCCTTTCCTGCTGAAGCGACGACACTTTCTTCTGTGGTATTTTATGATGCGATATGGTAGTGTTCTGCCTCGTGGCCAGCTCCACCTCTGTAACGTTGCTTTGTTGCTTTTGCGGGCCATGCTACTACTTGGCAAGCCAAACTGGGTTTCAGATCTACATCTGGGGAGGCGCTGCAGCTATTCCTTTCCTGTACTTACTGACTGCGACTTTCAAAGATCCATTCACTTTGATGAAATTCTAGCTCCATCCGGCGAGTACGCTAGAGGCCCTCGAAATCTCAAGTGAGACGATGTGAAACCAGTGGACTCAGACTCAAAGGTCCGAGAACTCAGGCGACAGCAAAAGCACTACCTCACTAGCAAAAAATGCAACTCCCAGAACCCTCAAGCAATTCTAGGAGCTGCATGATGGCTCATGATGGCTCCTGGGTTCCGCACGAGCAAGCAGAGAAGGGAGAGCAAAGGATCCCGGCCCGGGCTAACCTGGTGGAAGCCACCCTGCATGAAGCCCTTTGCTAAATCATCCTGCTTAAGGAGTTGAACATCCTCTTATGGGAAGCAAAGTGCCTTCACCAGAAGCCCTGAGCGTTCGGGCCAGGCCTTCAACATGAGAACTGAGCTCATCTCCACAAAATACTCAAGTTTGTTTTTGAGCAGCCAGCTGTGGCCACCGGGCCGTCAGCTGTGGCTGTCAGGCCTGGAAAGCGACCACCAAAAACAGTCGCTACCGAATCTTTTATTTGCCTGGACCGGATGCAGCAATGCTCATCACCACACCTGCCAAGCTCTGCCAAGCTCATAGAATCTCATCTCTTTGCAGGGAACGGAGCTTCCTTCAGCGCGCTGAAGCTGCCAGTGATGGCCGCGGTTCTGCAAAAGCCCATAGCGGTCCTTAACAGCTTCCACATTCAATTGGAACACAGCGAATATCCGACGTTCAGTGTCGATCGCATGCGACTCCAAGCGCAGGCGCTTGGGATACATGTCAGATATCTGTTGAGGGTTTCAGGTTGCGGAGCCCCTTTTGCGCGGACCAGGGCTGGCATTGGTTCAGTCCACCATGCAGTATAATCATGTCCCACGGGCAAGAATCACAGATGCCCTCTGACGTGACAACATGGACAAGGAGGGCTCCTCTCTCCTATCCAAGATACATCTTGGGCATCGAAGCAAGGGGTCAGGGGCTGCGTGACTGTACAACACGTTGCGACACGTTGCGAAAACAAATCTTGGCTCCGATGGTGTAGCGCATGTTCTGGAATGTAAAGTGGCACAGTAGCCAGTCACCAGGCCTGACGATAGCAACAAAGCAGTCAACTTACATATGTACAATGTAGCAGGCGCTAAAGAGGAATGGGAGCACAGAGATCCCAGGCAGAATCCTCGTGGAAGCCGTGAGGTAAGCCGGTACAGGCCCCAGAATATGTAAAAAAGCAACACCAAACCATAACCCCCTAACCCTAAACCCTAAAGGCTACCCCCTAAACCTCGTCATATGGTTGACGTCGTGAATCCCGCGCACGCCAACCATAATAATCATTTCCCAGCGCATCCGATGATAAGAGCATCTATGCTCGGACCATGAGATACCATCATAACATTCATGTTCGAGTGCATCTGATTACCAGAGAATCCATGCCCAAACCATGATGACATTCATGTTCTGGTGCATCAAATCACTAGAGCAACCATGACCAAGCCACAACAATGTCCTTGCTCGAGCGCATCCGATCATGAGAGCATCCATGCCCTCTTTCACAGGGACAGCATTCGACAGATTGGGGCCAAGGATCGCCGGAAGGGCCCCGGATGTCCAGGGATGCTGCGGTAGCACCCAGCTGAAGAGGCCCCGCCTCCAGTTGCCATCTTGCACAAAATCACGCAGCAAACCTTGCTAAGATTGAGGCACGGCAGTGAGGAAACTGAGTGTTGGCCGTGGTGGACCTCACCCAGCACGCATGCTCTCTTGGCATACGAAGCTCCTTTTGCTCAAGCTGATGGCAGTTCCAGCCACTGGCCCTTGCTGTCCTGGCACTTGCAACACTTAAGAGAAGGCTCCTGAATGCACGTCCCCATCCTCACCTGGCTAAAGCGCGCGTAGAGCAGCGCATGGCCGGCCGGGCCACAGATCGCGACTGGGCTCTCACCTGAATTGCAGACAACGGACAAAAATCATGCGACGTTCTGTCCTGCACCTCGTCGCAGCAAGCCAAGGTCCTCCGAATTGACGTGGAATGAGGCCTCAGGTGTCGTGAATCTTGCTTCCCTTCGCCCTTCGCCAAGTCCGTGCAGTGGCCTCTGAAGACGGCTGGATGAGACGTGGGCACATGGCCGAGCGGTCCTCGCAGCAAGCTTGTAAGTTGCTGCGTCCCTGCACCCGAATTGACGTTTCAGGTGCCTCGGGAGCCCCTGCCGAGCCAAGAAAGCCAAGGCCACCAGACCGAGCGGGCTCAGACCTTCACAAAATGTTCGAATCTATTCCGACGTTAAGACGCGGTACAAGTAGATTGGATGCAAGCTCGCCAAGCTCGCGGCAAGCGATCCAGCATGGGCAAGGTAGAGACGGCGCTAGAAGCCTGGCCCTAGCGCCATCATGAGAATAAGAAGCGTGCGAAACCAACACACCTCCACGGGGCCTGGGCCTGCCATTGATCAGAGTTTGCCTGCGGTGTGTTCGGCAAGGTCATGGGCGGCAAGCTGGATCGCCCCAGCGTGGACCGCTCCTCATCGACAGATCGACGGTGCAAGGTGAGGGCCCACGCCTCCTGCGCTCGCTGCACACTCCCGTCCTGGCCATCTCCGTGACCTGAGCGAGAACGCTTCCATCTCCTTCACAGACATGGCGGAGGGGCCCCCCAGGTCCGTACCCAGGTCCGTCCAGCGTGGCTTCGGATAACCTGCGCTACCGAAATGCATTGGCAGGGACCGCTTGGATGCACGGGAAGCCACGCCGTCAAGGCCCTGAAGGTATCTTTCTTCCTGTCCACAAAGCGGCGCGGGTGCGGGCAGACACCGAAAGTCGAATGAGCAACACAAGCGGCACCTTGCCCCTCTCCTCGAAGAAGGCACCTCTGCTCCGAGCTGTCAGCTTGTCAATTCGTGGTGGGCAGAACACCCTTCCAACATCCTGCGCCCCTTTTGCCAGCAAGGAGCCGATCATCTGGGACACAAACCTAAAGCGGCGGGAAATCTTCGCCAGCTACGCACAGTGTCTGTTCCTGCCAAGAAGCAGCACCATGACCAGCGCGGCAACCATGAAGACCACCAAGGCGGGCAAGCCACCTTCAGCAATCGCAAAGTGCAGCCGTGCCTTCTTACACTTCTTAGACTAAGCCAGGCTGAGCAAGGCTGAGCTCTGGGGAGAAGGCTCACTGCCGTCCTGTCCGTCGGCAGCGTCCGGATCAGCTCCAGATGCCTGAGGAACCATGTGCGCAGACCACAAAAGGCCTCTCGTTGTTCCCATCTGCCCATCCGCCTACCCATGGCGGCCTTTGCGGCTCCTAGGCTGCATCCGGGTGACCCGCAATAGGAAACAAATGAAAGCTGAGGCAAGAGCTGCCGTAATTTGACAGGCTCACAACCTCCCATAGCCAGCTTGACCGAAGCCCTGGAACCTGCAAGGCGGAAAGGGCGCAGTGCAGGTGCCAGAGTGTCCCATCTAAGGATGAGGCAGGGCTTGCGAAGCTTGCGAAGCTTGCGAAGAGAGATAAATGTTCATCCACTTCTGCTTTTGGCTTCGTCCTTGCCTCTGAGCCATCAGGAATGAAAAAGGCCCCAAATGAGACAGCTGAGGCTTGCGCCACGGTTAAAGATGACTGGAGCAAGGACACCTGCAGCCTGATCTTTTTATGAACTCAAGGGCGCCAATGCACCGCAGAGATAGGTCGCCTCTTTGCTTCCTCCGCTTCCTCAGCGCAATCGCTATGGAACTCATGGAACTGATGGGAATTAAGGAACTCCATGTCTAAAACCAAAAGCCGCATCAGGCCCTTGCAAGGAAGTCCTCTTCGATGCCTCCGCACTGCACCTTCACCCCACCCAACTTGCGGTGGCTGCTCAAAAGCGGAGTACTGTAGCCTGACGTACGGAAAGTCTACGGGGTTACCCTCGAGAGCTGAATGGCGTTGTTGTGTAACTCTTGCGCATTGCAAAATGCAGCGTTCCTACTTCACGTTGCACAAACTGAACGGCCTCGACTGAAGCCGAAATGCACACGATGCATGCAACCTTGGAGAGTGGCACAGCTGGGGTTGAGTATGCAAAACCTTTACAACTTTATGTCTCCAGTCAGGCAGCAATTGTAGTTGCAATCTTGCCGCATCGCGTACGCATAGCTTTCTTCGCATAAGCGTGGTGTGTCGATGTGTGGTGGTATGCAGTGTTGTGCTGGTAAGAGACTGATGTGGAAGGCTGGTGGACGTGTGGCCTGGGCCTAGGCTAAGCTAAGCTAGAAGGCTGCTCACGCTGGCCATCTTCAATCCTGGCAGCACACCAAGTCAGGGCGAAGAGGCGAAGATGGCCAGCCAAAATTTGAGGCAGCAACACATGGAAATGGGTTCGGTTCCTCGGGCTTCCTCAGCTTTCAAGTTGGATCTATACATCCTTCCTTAACGCACAAAGAGAAGTTGAGCTGTGCCTGGTTTTGAGGGGAGCTTGGCTTCATTTCTGTGGCTTCGAAGAGAAGACTGACACAAAATAAACACACCAAAACCACTCGAACTAAGCTGAACACCTGTCCGCGAACAATTCTGCCAAGCATCGTCACGGTGGGGCTGTGCGAAGAGATTCCGGCTGCGCCCACCCACGATCACCACTTCAAGCCGGAGAGTGCAGAGTGTTGAGTGTTACTCACATACGGAACCGCAGTGACAGCAGCTTGAAGCGGCGAACAATTCCCGTATGGTGTGCCTTGAATGCGCAGCCTCCAACACTACAAGTCATCCTGTATTCGAGCTATGAACATCCGATTCACGCTGCAAGAACCACAGCATCAGTCCTGAAGAGCAGCGTTAATCACAACCCTAGGCAAAGCATGCGCATGTGCGGATTCCTTTCGGAATCGCTGCCAGTTAGCCAAGCTGACGTCTTGTCTCATGGCGAAGTTATGTACAAAGGTCTAATACCAGAACTTCTCACGCTCATTTGTGATGATGTCGTACTTTACGCCAGAGTTGTTGGGCTGCTGCATGGGCCGCATGCAGAAGGGATCCTTCCGTAGAAGCCTTAGTCTCACACGCAAGACACAACAAAAACGGGCACAAGCCAGGCTGTCAAAAGCATGAGATGAATCTCGGCCGCCCACTTGTCATCGCCCAAAGCCCAGTTGCTGATCTCCCGCTGGGCAAAGCTCTCCATCCGACCTGTGCCAGAAGACAGCTAGTTTGAAGCTAAGGGGTTTCTGGCTTACTGCCAACAAGGAAGGTGTTGACGCTAAGGATACACGTTTGAAGAACGGGGTGATGTTTTCCGGCAAGCTGCTCTGCGAGTGGTTCACCCGCGCGTCGGGGTGCCTGGGAAGCACAGCACCCGAAAGAACGGAGTTCCTTCTGACATGGTTTCAAAGGAAAAGCAATGCTTGCACCAACCTTCTACGGAGTGGAGCTTTGCTCCCGCAAATGGCGTTTGCTCAAACGTGTTTTGGCATGCACTCCAGCTACTGGTTATCACATGGCTTCATATTGATCTTACAAATACCGCAAGAAGTCCGCATGCAATGTCCGGCATCACATTTGGTCTGTTCGCAAGATTTACTTCCGTGGCCTAGACAGAAACCGCAGCTCTCCAGTGTCACCAGGGCGCTTCGGCGTACCAGCAGAGCTTCGGTGCGAGAAGAGAGCAGCACGAAGCACTCCGGAATCTGGGAGCCCGCTTCCTGCTTCCACTTAAAGATGGGGGAAGGGGAGAGAAAGGAGGCGGGGGGGAAGGAAGGCAAAGGTGACGACGAATTGCGAAAAGGTCCCGCTGCAGGCCTCCAGGTTTGCTGAGTTTGGGTTCGGAGCTGCCGCAGCTGCCGCTGAGCTGCTGCGCGAAAGCACCTTGTTGGACGTCCACGTGGGACTCTGCCCGCAGCTGGCCCACCGACATGAACATCTCCTGGCTCTCTTTTGCTTTCACAAAAATTCTTGCAACTTCAAAGGTCTTTGTGTCCTCCTCCTTGGGAGGCTTCTGTTCCACACGGGGCTCCCCGCGGCGTGGCGTCCACTCTTGCCGGCACACCACCTCCAGAAACTCTGAAAGCCGGAAACCGGCCCGCCACTACTTGAAGGATCGTGCTGTTT